TAAACATTGATAAATTCAATGAATTTATAAATTAATAAACTGGTCACATAATCATATGTTCCTATAATCGTATTAATCAAATAAATTAATAAAATAAAATGTTAATTGTTAAAAACTGGTCATATAACCAATAAAAGAAAATCTTAAAAACTGTAATTTTGTAAGTGTAAAACAATGGTCAATGGCCGAACTGCAGGAACTCGGAAGGCGTACCTCAACGCCTAAAAACAGAAATCTTGAAGGTTTGGAAAGTTGGAGTTGGAGACCTGGAGACTGGAGTGCTGAACGCCGATGTCGAAGGCTGAACTGTTGAAGGCGGAACTAATCGCAGAAGGCTGTGTCACTGCGGACAGAAGGGTTGAAAACAGAAGGGAGTTTACGGAACTAATCTTCTGTGCGTGTTAGTTGCTTTTGTTTGATTTGGGCTAGTTGGGCTGCTCAAAATTAAAGGAGTGTTTGTGATTGCTTAAAAAAAACATTTTTTAGCTTTTGGCTTAAAAAAAGCTAAAAAAGAGTGTTTTCAAATGACAGCTGATGGAGTATATGGCCCAGGAGCCCCCGGCCCATAGACTCCTACTTCTCCACAGGTCCATTGAGTCTAGGGAACATCTCAGGCCCAAGTACAACGGCCCAAGCCTCAAAGGGGCCCAAAATACTCACTGGGGAGCCTTCGTCCTCCTTGGCCGACGGCTCCAAAACTCACAGGATAGCCTTTTTTGGCATACAAGTCTACTGGGAAAAAACGGCGAAAAGGTAGCCTTCCGCATTATCGAGCCCTCGGCATCAGAGAAACCTTCGACTGTACCAAGCCTCCGGTCACCCCGGAGCCTTCGGCTACACAGGGCCCTCGGTTATTTGGAGCCCCCGGCTACACAACGAGCCTTCGGCCAAACATGCTCAATCGTCGAAGATTCCTTTTGGAGACAGTCAACCACCGCATTTAATGCAACGTCACATCCGCCAACCGCATTCAATGCGGTGAACGTACCACTACCGGTTCCACCCGGTTGATGTGACCCCCTCGGCCGTTGGATTATTGACACGTGTACTCTCATCGCATTTATTGCTGCTATAAATAGTAGCCCATTTCTCCTTGTAAAAGGGACCAGATCCCAACTCCACATCTCGAGTTCATTTAATAAAATCGACTCTCTCTCCTCCTATTTACTCTGACCTCTCTCTAAGTTATTCCCGCAATAACCCCTCGGATAAGATACCCCCGGGTAGACTATCCATCATTTGGTGCTTTCATCGTCGATGATCACAACTGGGGGAGCCTTCTGACCGACATCCCCCTTTGACTTCTTCTTTTTCGGAGGCTTCATGCCCTTCCCGGCGTTCTTTCTCTTCAGCTCCCCCGCCTGGGAGCCTCTAGCACCGGTGCCGGCATCAGCGGTTACAACCTCCTGGGAGGGTCCCTGTCCCTCGGGAACCTTGTCCTTTTGGAAAAAGGAGTCGACGGGTTTTTGGGTTGAAGGCCCCTCCATCTTCTTCTTCTTTCCATCCTTCGCCAGTTGCTTGGATAGTTTTGCGAAGGCCTTGGGGTCCATGATGTCGCCTGCAAAAACAAGGGAAGGGTTAGAATCACAACAAAACAGAGGCAAAAATTTTCTAAGTACCAGAACAAATGGCCCTCGGCACCAACCTCTGGTGCTTTGGTAACCCCAATCAATAATAGGGTATCTCTCGTCTTTCTCCCCTGGCAGGCGGTAGGGCTGGGACTTTGGAACCAAGAACCGGAGAACCGAACCGGACCGAACCGTTATGACCCGGTTCGGTTCGGTTCCAACATTTATTAGTTATTTGTTAACGGTTCGGTTCCTATTTTTTATTAAAGGTTCGGTTCTCGGTTCCTGAAAAAAATATGTACTAGGAACCATTAAGGAACCGTTATATATAATAATTAAAATTATGTATATTTCTTACGAGTATATATATTTTATGTATATTTACTTATTTATTTTTATATTCCATTCATTATTTTAGTTTAGTTATTCAACTATTTAAAACTATTATTCACTTCAACCGGTTCTCTTAGACTTCTTAGGCCTCTCATTAGGTCCAAACTCGAGCGGGTCGGAACTCGGAAGGTCCAAACTATTTAAAACTATTATTCTCTTTAACTGGTTCAACATATTTGTTTTGTAATTTCAAACGTTGAATGTCTTTTTGACAAAAATCTAGTCGTGATTTGTAAGATTTTTTTCAAAGACTAGGAACCGTTAAATGACAAGAACCGAACCGTTAAGAATGGTTCGGTTCCTTATCGGTTCTATAAAATAATTTATAAGAACCGAACCGTTAGTAAAATTTCATATTTTCAAACGGTTCCACATATTTTGTCTAGGAACCGAACCGGTCCCAAGCCTAGCAGGCGGTATCGCCGGAATTCTAGCTTGAACAGCTCTTCCGGGAGCGTGGCGGCCTTGATTGTTGTCAGCTTCTCCGAACCCGGAGGCTTCGCCTTCAGTTTCTTCCCATTACTCTCAAGGACAGCATTGCCAACCTTGGGATGCCTCCGGAAATGATTGCGGAGAGGCCTCGGGAAATCAGCTCCCATCATCCTGAGGTAGCAGAATCGATCCTTCCATCCCTTATGGGACGAGGGCACCTCTGAAAACAGCCTCCATGCCGGCAGCTGTTGGAGGTTGGCAAAGCCTTCGCTGTTTGCGCCCCCCCCCCCCCCCCCCTCGGCAAAGATTGAAGGACATAAAGAACTGATCGAGGGAAGGCTCCACCCCCCGGGAATGACACAACGACAGGAACCCCGCCAAGTAAGAGTGGCTATTGGGGGTTAGCTGGCAGGGGGCGAGTCCTACAAACCGGAGGTATTCTAGTACAAAAGGGTGGACCGGAAGCCGAAGGCCTAACTCCACTGAGAGAACGTGGACGGCGAAGCAACCCTCCGGGGGGTTGGACAATAAATCCTCCAGACGTGGTTCTACCACTTGAGCTGAGGGCCCCACAAGGAGCTGCGTGGTTTGGCAATCCGAAGGCGTGGCGGTTGTCTGCAGATCAAGGGCGTCAGTGTTGAGGTACGAATGGCCCTCGGGGATCCCCACTGGTTGCCCCGCGTCGACATCAGCTTTCTTCTTCCTGGAAGCTCCCTCGGCTTTCCGCTGCTTCCTCTTCTTCCCCGAAGCTACCCGGAGGGGCACGGCGTCAATCGGCCGGGAGCTGCTCGCTTCACCGCCGTTTCGCAAAGGCAAGGCGGCAACCGTAACTCGTTGCCTCTCCTTCTCTTCTTCCTCCTCGGCTACCTGAAGCGCGAGGGCCATTTCCTCATCCTCTGCAACTTGTTCAAAGTCTTCGGCTTCGACCTCAGCATGGAGGTTGCTCTGCATCTCCCTCGCCACCTCAGAATCGTTGCTTGACGAGGCCTCCTCACTCGATGACTCCACATCCGAGTATCTCTCAGATTGTGCCGGGGCCTCCTCCGATATATCTTGGGAGTCACTACTAGAAGACATCTTGAGTTCTAAGAAAGGGGGGGCTATTTAGGTATCTTAACCGGAGGCCACTAAAAACGCTAGCACTAAATCTAAGAAACTGGCAAAGTAAGCTAAGAGAATCGAAGGGCTGAGGAAATACTGACCTCTAAAGTTGGTTTGAACGAGGGGGTGACTTTCTCTCTCTAGAAAAATTTTGCCAGAGCTTCGCCAACACTGAAACGCACAAGAGAGATGAGGTCTGGCCTTGGGGTATTTATAGGTAGATGGGCCTCGATATATGGGCCTCGATTGGAAAGCCCATCATTACGGGCCGCCGGTTCAGCCAATGGATGGCAGCCGCCCACCTCCAGCCAACGCCAGCCAGCCACGTCGACCCCTCTTCTAACGGCTATATTGCAACGGCTATATTTCAGAAACACTAGGGTGCCCTCAAAGTGTAACACCGGACCTGAATTCTTTCTGTGAGATTTTTTTTTTTTCATCAAGTACTGGGTTAAAGAAGGTAAATCAAGACTAAGAGTAGTCTTGATAAATGACAAAGTAAAAAAAGTTGTCTTAAATTAATAAAGGGTTATTAATTTAGACGTGGGGACAACTCATGATATTTCGAGTTTGTAAAATATTAATGTTTATCAAAATGATACTATTATAATAGTAGGGATGGGTCATGGACCCCAGTGATATAAAGAACAACAACTAGACGGCCAAGCGGGCCGGGGTCTCGATCCGATAATTGTGAATCATTAATCATCGGACTGATAATAATTCAGAAGGCTACTAATTAATAAAAGATGAAATATAAATGTTTTAAGAACCTAAAGTAATGGGATGATAATGTATGATTAAATTGACATATTAGAGGTGGGTACTTTTGGAGGACCCTACCTCGAAGATATTTTCGTATAAGAATAAACAGATAAGATTTTATCTACTTATACAGTTGGGACCACTTAAAAACAAGTGTAACATTTTATTAAAGTGTCACAAAATATGAAAACACATATTTAATCATTAGGAATGATGAATGAATTTTTTTAAAACAACGTGCTCTCATTTTTACTGTTACTTGAACAGTAAAATGCATGTCGGGTCCACGCATGGGCGGCGACCATCCGATATTTACGGACCACATATTATATTCATCTTGGTTTAGATAATATTTATATGAGGGTGTAAATAAATGTTGAGCCATAAAGTTGGCCTTTCGATCAAACGAGGTCCCATTACCGGCATAGGTAATTAAACATATAACAGCCCGAAATTTATTTCAGTGACCACGAAATTAAAGTGGGATAATATATATTCACTCTAGAGGCCAATATTAATTGGAAGAATGATATATATTTTATTTGACCCGATAAAATAAAATTTACTTAAAACAGTCCCGAAAATACAACTTTCGGAGTCGAATGTGCATTCGGGGACATAAAGGGATGACCTCCCACATGAGTGGGGGCCATCCCACGTTTTTGTGCATCCAAATGAGCCGTAGAATCTGCATAGCATGGAAGAGAGGGATGCATTTGGTCTCAAATTGATAGGTTGGGTGAGAGAGTGACATTTGGTGGACCTCCCCTCACATTGATTGGCAAAGGAGACAAAGGAAGTCTCCTCACTCCTCTCTACCCCATTATTTCGACCACCATATTCAAGGAAGAGAGGAAACCCTCTTCAAATCATCATCCTCCATTGTTGAAGCAAGCTCAAACCAAGGAAGCTCCAAATAAGAAGAAAGAGTGGGAAAAGAAGAGAATAACCTTGATATATTAAGGTAATGATCTCATTAATATTTTTCATCCTTCATTTAATCTCATATGATTTTATAAATCATATGATAGACTCTTAATCTTATTCTACACTTTTAGAGGTGTAGAATGAGGGTTTGGAAGGTTAAGTTTAACCATAAACGGAGTTATGACCGGAGTAAGACCGGTTCACCGGAAAACACCTTCTTGGAAGGTTTTGATGTTTATACCACTTTTGGTTGTGAAACCTTGTTAGGAATTTTACCAAGGTATTCTAAACTTCTCAAGGAACCTAGGAGTGGCCGGAAAGTCGCCGGAGCCGCCGGAGTTTTCGCCGGAAAATTCAAAGGTCGCCGGAGTTCAAACAAAGGGGATAAAAACTCGCTAGCGTCATTTCAAGGTGAGTGGACGACTACGTGTCTTGTAACTCTTGGTTCAAACGTGGGATTACCTAAATAAAATCATAACCATGATTTGAGAAATGATGAAATGGATTAAAATGCATGATTAGTCATGGTGTATATGACTAATGGAAAAAATAGATTAATTTATTAATTAATCATTAGTACGTAGTATATATTTCTTAATGCATAAGAGGATATACTTGAACCATGTATGAGATAAGCTCGAATAATCTAGTAAGTGAATATAAAAGGGTTGTAAAGTTGTGATTATCCATATTAAATATGGATTATGGAAGTATTATATGATTAATAAAAAAATAGATCAATTTATTAATTAATCATGAGTATATTTTTCTTAAATGAATAAGAAGGTATACTTGAACCGTGTATGTCATTAACTAGAGTTATCTAGTAAAGAAATATAAAAAAGATATGTGATATGTGATTAGTCATATTAATTATGGATTATGGAAATATGGCATAATTAATGATTAATCAATTAATGGTATGAATAAAAGGTTGTAAGAAAGGATCATGAGCCATGATTTGGGCTTGGGCATGAGATTACTCAAATAAAACAGAATGATATTCCATGAAATGTTAAATACATCTAAGAATGTATTAAGGAAAGATTTACTTATTAATAGCATTAATAAGTGTATTTAATATGCTTTAATTTGGACAGAAAATGATTATAAATTATGTGTGATGATTTGGACGTCCAAAATAATATTTTTGGACTAAGAATGACTTGTTGCATAAGCGTATAAAATTTCGTGGAAATCGGACCCCGTTTGGATGGTCAAACGGGTGTTGACCAAAATGTTGACCGGTTGCCCAGGGGGTAACCGGCGCCGGTTATAGGCAAAACCGGCGCCGGTTATGGTTCGGTTTACTCAAGAAAATCAGTAAACCGGCGCCGGTTATGGGTAAAACCGGCGCCGGTTATGTCTCGGCTTTCAGGACTGATTTTTGCTAAAAACCCAAATCGGACCCGGTTTGACGTGGGATAAATTCTAGCCATCCTATATATGAATATTTTGCATGGAATTGCATGAAATATGATGTTTAAAATGATAAGCTTTGGAATACGGTTTAAACGCTAAGACTTGGACTAGTCGTTAGTAAAGAAATTATAGACCACGACTGGGCGAGGTACGTGGTAGATTATACATGGCGGGTGAATACCAGGGACCAAGTAAGGTTAAGTAATACTCTGTAGGACCAGGAGGAGTCCTCTACACTCAAACGTTAACAAGGGCCCGTGTAGTCCTTGAGGTGTGTTAACCTCCAGTAAATTACACATAGGTAACAAGGGCAAGTGCAGTCCTTGAGGTGAGTTAACCTCCATCAAAGTGCATATAGGTAACAAGGGCAAATGCAGTCCTTGAGGTGTGTTTAACCTCCATCAAATTGCATATAGGTAACAAGGGCAAATGCAGTCCTTGAGGTGTGTTTAACCTCCATCAAATTGCATATAGGTAACAAGGGCAAATGCAGTCCTTGAGGTGTGTTAACCTCCATCAAAGTGCATATAGGTAACAAGGGCAAGTGTAGTCCTTGAGGTGTGTTTAACCTCCATCAAATTACACATAGGTAACAAGGGCCCGTGTAGTCCTTGAGGTGTGTTAACCTCCAGTAAATTACACATAGGATGAGGGTGTATGCGTACTCCTCAAGGCGGGGTTATCCCAGAAATGAAAACTATGATAGCAAGGACGGATAGTCCTCGCGGTAGGTGAACATCAAGGTAATGATGTTAAATGATTAAACGTGCTTGATCGGGAACGAGTTTCCGATATGATATTTTCCTTGGTCTAAGAATTGATTTAAACCACGTCCGTGATATGGGAGTCTGAATGGCCCCACAGTAATTATATCTTGATATCGGGTGAGTTAGCCTGCGGGTGACTCCACTCGAGGGTGAGATACGGGAAGGGTGAATTTAATGAGGCTGTCACGCCTAAATGATTTGAAGGACAAATGGGCCCACGGGCCAGATATTTTACTCATATGTATATATGTATACATTTTGTTTTGAAAAGGGGTAGCTGAGTTATGCCCATAATTATACTATCACCCTATTTTGAGGGTCTCACGTGAGAAACGTTAGTTACATTACATACAGTTTGCCCTCACCAGTACTTTTCTGTAGTACTGATCCCTCGGGGGAACCACCCTTTCAGGTTGAAGCTAGAGCTTACTTCCTGCACCCGTTGCTCGGGAGATCGATGGAGAGAAGACGTGGTTCGTGCTTCCTCTCGTTCCATTTTTAAATAATTAAATAATGCTCATGGAACTATTTTGACTTATAAATTAATGGAGCCTGCGAGCTCTTGTTTTACCCTTGTGTGGGTTCTTATTAAAACACTTATATTCCGCTATGTGTTTGATTGTATGTTGATGTTGTTATGTATGTTTACTAATCGGTTTTGGCATATGTATCTATCGGACGTCTTGTGCAATTCGGTAAGGATGAACTGCGGTTATTCTTATTGGGTTGTACGACGGTTGTCCACGTGGCACAGACGCGGTCTGGGGCGTGACAATTAAGTGGTATCAGAGCCAAACGATTTCTAAACTATATAGTCAACCTCTCAACAGAGTTTCTATCAAAACAGTTTTCAATGAAAAACCATGAGCATAAGTTTTGTACTTTAAGAGCATTTGGTTATCGAGTTGCAAGGTCTCTGGTTGTTAAGATGGGCCCCTTAACAATTGGTATGGCAGTGACTTGAGCCAAGTGGTGTCTTGAGTACGTTTCTGTCAATTGACATTCAAACGAGTCCAAAGACTCATTCCAACATATTCTTTCAGGAATGGGTGGTAGTGATAGGGCGGTTCGAGGAAATCCGAGAGGGCGCGCACCGGGGATAGCCGGGCAAGCCAATCGGGGAATATCAAGGTCGCGTAAAAGGCGAGGTATGGGCAACCAAGGCCCACGAACACGAGCCACGATGGCTGATCACAATGTGACTGAATTCGAGTCGTGGAACTCGGAGGATGACTCAACTTATCACCCTGAAAGCGAGTCAGATGAAACTTCTTTTCAGGAAAACAGTGGAGAGGATATACAAAGTATTCCTCCTGACCATGTTAGTGAGATGTACCGATGGTACCAACGTGAAAGGGGAAGACAACGACAGGGATCTCAGGAGGGACATGTCAAAGGCGAGACCTCTCTCAGGAGGGGTCGGGGTGCTCATAGAGCACAAGTTAGGACAGTCAGAGATTCTGATGACGAAGGACCATTCATTAAGATCTCAAAGTACCTCAAAGAGGCTAGAGCCTTGGGGTGCAAACCATTTGATGGGACGGGGGACATATCAGAAGCAGCCGAGTGGATAAAAAGGTTAAATGATGCAGCTGAGGACATGCAGGTGGTCCCTGAAAGAAAGTTAAGGGTAGCCACTAGATTATTGGAGGGTTTAGCTTCTACTTGGTGGGAAGGCACCAAGGGTAAGTTTGACGGGGTTGTCACGTGGGACAACTTCGAGCAAGCATTCTATGAGCAGTTTTACACCTCTTTCAAAGTAAATCGAAAGAGGAGGGAATATATCGATCTCAAACAGGGAAATGAGTTTACGGTGAAGCAACTGGAACAAAGATTCCGACATCTGGCAAGGTTCTTGCCTGAGTATGCCGCAAATGAGAACCGAATGGCAAACCATTTTTGGAATGCACTCAATTTGGAAATACGCGAAAGAGCGACCTACCAATTCAACATGACTTTTAGTCAAGTAGTAGCACAAGGTCTCCAGGGGGAGGAGCTTTGGAAGGAAAGGCAAGCAAGGGATGCAAAGGAAGCACAAGAAAGAGATCAGGTGATCATTCACCCTCCACGACGAGAGGGGAAGTATGAACTTCAGAGCAAGGGGAACTCTAACAAGTTAGTTCCGTTTTTCAGTGAGAGCCAGGACTTGGTAAGTCAAAGCTCAAGCACTCGAGGCACGGGGGCACCCAAATGTGAGAATTGTAGGCGAAGGCACTACGGGAGATGTCGAGAGCCATCTAGGTGTTACTTTTGTGGAGAAACAGGCCACATCAAGGTCCTTTGTCCTCAACGTACGCGTGAAGGAACATCAGGAGCTAGAGGAGGGGTCACGGGGGTTGAAAACCCAACTAGGGTTGCCTCAAACATGGTACCTTCTACAAGTCAATGGCGAACTCGCTCGTGAAGGCCGGAAATGGCGGGAGCCATTTGTTGGGCCTGACTATGGCATAAGGTATTATTAAATTAAACCTAAATTTCCATAAATATTTTTATTTTCAAATTGTTAGCTTCAGATAATGAAGGGAGAAATGCTTCTCAAGGTTCAAACGTTAATTTCGGGGACGAAATTCCTGTAAGGTGGGGTGAACTTGTAACACCGGACCTGAATTCTTTCTGTGAGATTTTTTTTTTTTCATCAAGTACTGGGTTAAAGAAGGTAAATCAAGACTAAGAGTAGTCTTGATAAATGACAAAGTAAAAAAAGTTGTCTTAAATTAATAAAGGGTTATTAATTTAGACGTGGGGACAACTCATGATATTTCGAGTTTGTAAAATATTAATGTTTATCAAAATGATACTATTATAATAGTAGGGATGGGTCATGGACCCCAGTGATATAAAGAACAACAACTAGACGGCCAAGCGGGCCGGGGTCTCGATCCGATAATTGTGAATCATTAATCATCGGACTGATAATAATTCAGAAGGCTACTAATTAATAAAAGATGAAATATAAATGTTTTAAGAACCTAAAGTAATGGGATGATAATGTATGATTAAATTGACATATTAGAGGTGGGTACTTTTGGAGGACCCTACCTCGAAGATATTTTCGTATAAGAATAAACAGATAAGATTTTATCTACTTATACAGTTGGGACCACTTAAAAACAAGTGTAACATTTTATTAAAGTGTCACAAAATATGAAAACACATATTTAATCATTAGGAATGATGAATGAATTTTTTTAAAACAACGTGCTCTCATTTTTACTGTTACTTGAACAGTAAAATGCATGTCGGGTCCACGCATGGGCGGCGACCATCCGATATTTACGGACCACATATTATATTCATCTTGGTTTAGATAATATTTATATGAGGGTGTAAATAAATGTTGAGCCATAAAGTTGGCCTTTCGATCAAACGAGGTCCCATTACCGGCATAGGTAATTAAACATATAACAGCCCGAAATTTATTTCAGTGACCACGAAATTAAAGTGGGATAATATATATTCACTCTAGAGGCCAATATTAATTGGAAGAATGATATATATTTTATTTGACCCGATAAAATAAAATTTACTTAAAACAGTCCCGAAAATACAACTTTCGGAGTCGAATGTGCATTCGGGGACATAAAGGGATGACCTCCCACATGAGTGGGGGCCATCCCACGTTTTTGTGCATCCAAATGAGCCGTAGAATCTGCATAGCATGGAAGAGAGGGATGCATTTGGTCTCAAATTGATAGGTTGGGTGAGAGAGTGACATTTGGTGGACCTCCCCTCACATTGATTGGCAAAGGAGACAAAGGAAGTCTCCTCACTCCTCTCTACCCCATTATTTCGACCACCATATTCAAGGAAGAGAGGAAACCCTCTTCAAATCATCATCCTCCATTGTTGAAGCAAGCTCAAACCAAGGAAGCTCCAAATAAGAAGAAAGAGTGGGAAAAGAAGAGAATAACCTTGATATATTAAGGTAATGATCTCATTAATATTTTTCATCCTTCATTTAATCTCATATGATTTTATAAATCATATGATAGACTCTTAATCTTATTCTACACTTTTAGAGGTGTAGAATGAGGGTTTGGAAGGTTAAGTTTAACCATAAACGGAGTTATGACCGGAGTAAGACCGGTTCACCGGAAAACACCTTCTTGGAAGGTTTTGATGTTTATACCACTTTTGGTTGTGAAACCTTGTTAGGAATTTTACCAAGGTATTCTAAACTTCTCAAGGAACCTAGGAGTGGCCGGAAAGTCGCCGGAGCCGCCGGAGTTTTCGCCGGAAAATTCAAAGGTCGCCGGAGTTCAAACAAAGGGGATAAAAACTCGCTAGCGTCATTTCAAGGTGAGTGGACGACTACGTGTCTTGTAACTCTTGGTTCAAACGTGAGATTACCTAAATAAAATCATAACCATGATTTGAGAAATGATGAAATGGATTAAAATGCATGATTAGTCATGGTGTATATGACTAATGGAAAAAATAGATTAATTTATTAATTAATCATTAGTACGTAGTATATATTTCTTAATGCATAAGAGGATATACTTGAACCATGTATGAGATAAGCTCGAATAATCTAGTAAGTGAATATAAAAGGGTTGTAAAGTTGTGATTATCCATATTAAATATGGATTATGGAAGTATTATATGATTAATAAAAAAATAGATCAATTTATTAATTAATCATGAGTATATTTTTCTTAAATGAATAAGAAGGTATACTTGAACCGTGTATGTCATTAACTAGAGTTATCTAGTAAAGAAATATAAAAAAGATATGTGATATGTGATTAGTCATATTAATTATGGATTATGGAAATATGGCATAATTAATGATTAATCAATTAATGGTATGAATAAAAGGTTGTAAGAAAGGATCATGAGCCATGATTTGGGCTTGGGCATGAGATTACTCAAATAAAACAGAATGATATTCCATGAAATGTTAAATACATCTAAGAATGTATTAAGGAAAGATTTACTTATTAATAGCATTAATAAGTGTATTTAATATGCTTTAATTTGGACAGAAAATGATTATAAATTATGTGTGATGATTTGGACGTCCAAAATAATATTTTTGGACTAAGAATGACTTGTTGCATAAGCGTATAAAATTTCGTGGAAATCGGACCCCGTTTGGATGGTCAAACGGGTGTTGACCAAAATGTTGACCGGTTGCCCAGGGGGTAACCGGCGCCGGTTATAGGCAAAACCGGCGCCGGTTATGGTTCGGTTTACTCAAGAAAATCAGTAAACCGGCGCCGGTTATGGGTAAAACCGGCGCCGGTTATGTCTCGGCTTTCAGGACTGATTTTTGCTAAAAACCCAAATCGGACCCGGTTTGACGTGGGATAAATTCTAGCCATCCTATATATGAATATTTTGCATGGAATTGCATGAAATATGATGTTTAAAATGATAAGCTTTGGAATACGGTTTAAACGCTAAGACTTGGACTAGTCGTTAGTAAAGAAATTATAGACCACGACTGGGCGAGGTACGTGGTAGATTATACATGGCGGGTGAATACCAGGGACCAAGTAAGGTTAAGTAATACTCTGTAGGACCAGGAGGAGTCCTCTACACTCAAACGTTAACAAGGGCCCGTGTAGTCCTTGAGGTGTGTTAACCTCCAGTAAATTACACATAGGTAACAAGGGCAAGTGCAGTCCTTGAGGTGAGTTAACCTCCATCAAAGTGCATATAGGTAACAAGGGCAAATGCAGTCCTTGAGGTGTGTTTAACCTCCATCAAATTGCATATAGGTAACAAGGGCAAATGCAGTCCTTGAGGTGTGTTTAACCTCCATCAAATTGCATATAGGTAACAAGGGCAAATGCAGTCCTTGAGGTGTGTTAACCTCCATCAAAGTGCATATAGGTAACAAGGGCAAGTGTAGTCCTTGAGGTGTGTTTAACCTCCATCAAATTACACATAGGTAACAAGGGCCCGTGTAGTCCTTGAGGTGTGTTAACCTCCAGTAAATTACACATAGGATGAGGGTGTATGCGTACTCCTCAAGGCGGGGTTATCCCAGAAATGAAAACTATGATAGCAAGGACGGATAGTCCTCGCGGTAGGTGAACATCAAGGTAATGATGTTAAATGATTAAACGTGCTTGATCGGGAACGAGTTTCCGATATGATATTTTCCTTGGTCTAAGAATTGATTTAAACCACGTCCGTGATATGGGAGTCTGAATGGCCCCACAGTAATTATATCTTGATATCGGGTGAGTTAGCCTGCGGGTGACTCCACTCGAGGGTGAGATACGGGAAGGGTGAATTTAATGAGGCTGTCACGCCTAAATGATTTGAAGGACAAATGGGCCCACGGGCCAGATATTTTACTCATATGTATATATGTATACATTTTGTTTTGAAAAGGGGTAGCTGAGTTATGCCCATAATTATACTATCACCCTATTTTGAGGGTCTCACGTGAGAAACGTTAGTTACATTACATACAGTTTGCCCTCACCAGTACTTTTCTGTAGTACTGATCCCTCGGGGGAACCACCCTTTCAGGTTGAAGCTAGAGCTTACTTCCTGCACCCGTTGCTCGGGAGATCGATGGAGAGAAGACGTGGTTCGTGCTTCCTCTCGTTCCATTTTTAAATAATTAAATAATGCTCATGGAACTATTTTGACTTATAAATTAATGGAGCCTGCGAGCTCTTGTTTTACCCTTGTGTGGGTTCTTATTAAAACACTTATATTCCGCTATGTGTTTGATTGTATGTTGATGTTGTTATGTATGTTTACTAATCGGTTTTGGCATATGTATCTATCGGACGTCTTGTGCAATTCGGTAAGGATGAACTGCGGTTATTCTTATTGGGTTGTACGACGGTTGTCCACGTGGCACAGACGCGGTCTGGGGCGTGACACAAAGGATGGCCCCCGGCTATCACTTTCCTCAGCCTTCAGACAACGAACTCCACCAAACGCCTTCGAGCTCGCAGCAGCATAAGCCTTCGGCTATCAATATTACCACCCCTCGGGAGCTCATCAACACATCATAACTCCTTCATCCCGAACTAACCTTCGGCCTAAAGGAGTGAGGGACTGGGATACACCCCTCGGGAATCACGCAGAGCAGAATTTCCTCAGGCAAAATTTACAATTGACGCATACAGCCTCCGGGCAAACAGCAGAGTAGAAACCCTCGGGTACATACTTCGATATACCCTTCGGCAGAGGCAGAGTATCAAAAATATTCCCCAAGTCACTTGCGGAAATGAAGCAGCCCCCATCGTAACACATGCGGGCAATACATCTATACTTTCCTCAGAAAACCCTCGACATGTGAGGGACTGAGGAAAGCCTTCGGTAGTCATACAGGTGTTATACTTCCCTCAGAAAACCCTCGACATGTGAGGGACTGAGGGAAGCCTTCGACAATCAGCAGAAGGCAAGTTCTCAAGCAAAGGCGCCCAACTAAATGATGAAGCCTCCAGAAGAATTAACACAACTACTCCTTTTCCCTCAAGTACCTTTCGGCAAAAGGAGTGAGGGACTCCTGATGGAGTATATGGCCCAGGAGCCCCCGGCCCATAGACTCCTACTTCTCCACAGGTCCATTGAGCCCAAGGAACATCTCAGGCCCAAGTACAACGGCCCAAGCCTCAAAGGGGCCCAAAATACTCACTGGGGAGCCTTCGGCCTCCTTGGCCGAAGGCTCCAAAACTCACAGGATAGCCTTTTTTGGCATACAAGTCTACTGGAAAAAAACGGCGAAAAGGTAGCCTTCCGCATTATCGAGCCCTCGGCATCAGAGAAACCTTCGACTGTACCAAGCCTCTGGTCACCCCGGAGCCTTCGGCTACACAGGGCCCTCGGTTACTTGGAGCCCCCGGCTACACAACGAGCCTTCGGCCAAACATGCTCAATCGTCGAAGATTCCTTTTGGAGACAGTCAACCACCGCATTTAATGCAACGTCACATCCGCCAACCGCATTCAATGCGGTGAACGTACCACTGCCGGTGCCACCCGGTTGATGTGACCCCTCGACCGTTGGATTATTGACACGTGTACTCTCATCGCATTTATTGCTGCTATAAATAGTAGCCCATTTCTCCTTGTAAAAGGGACCAGATCCCAACTCCACATCTCGAGTTCATTTAATAAAATCGACTCTCTCTCCTCCTATTTACTCTGACCTCTCTCTAAGTTATTCCCGCAATAACCCCTCGGATAAGATACCCCCCGGGTAGACTATCCATCAACAGCTTCTGCTTAAATTAATCAGTTAAAAGCTAAAAGCTGGAAGCAGATAGAAGGGTGCTTTAAACTGCTTCTCACTTTTTCTATTACACAAAAAGTATTTATTTTACCAAACACTACCAACTGTTACTTTTTCAGAATCACTTTTTTCTCAAACGTTACCAACTTTTACTATTAATCACTTTTCCCAAAATCACTTTAAAAAATAACTTTTTTAAAATTGAAGCAACTGCAAACACTCCCTAATTATGTTTGGCTGAAAATCAACCTACTCAAACATAATTATGGGCCTAAAAAAATTATAATTCTTGGCCTAGGCCCCCAGGGCCGCCCCTTATCGTGAGTTACCTGAGGTATAAAATTCTTTGAAACTTTGAATTCAACGGCCCTCAAATTGCTATCCACAACCCCTAAATTATAAAATGAAAATTAACTATAAGAGCATCTTCAATGGTACAATGTGCACGGTGCACACGTGGCATGAGAGATGACCACATAAATATTAGTAAATAAATTGTTTCTCTCCTTATTTGAATGATTTTATACAGTTTTGGTAAGTTTTTCTCCACAATGTCAAGGAGACCGTCTAATGTTGACATTGTTGTTGACATTGCAGGGAAAAACTTACCAAAATTGTATAAAATCATTCAAATAAGGAGAGAAATAATTTATTTGCTAATAATTATGTGGCTATCACTCATGCCACATGTGCACCGTGGACATTATAGCATTGAAGATGCTCTAATGCCTAAGTTATCCTTAAATCTATTGATGTAACCAACGGAAATCTGTGACAAGAAGAGAAAATCGCTAGGATAGTGAAGGATGACCGATGTTCAGGTGGACTCCTACTGACTTAGCTTCTTTGCCAAGCTCCGCGCCAAGAACGTTGATGACCTCATCATGAACGTAGGTGGCTATGGTGCTGCTGCTCCTCTGACCTCTGAGGAGAAGAAGGTCATTGATGAAGAGAGTGAAAAGAAATACGGGATGAGCTTATTTGATGATCAGAGTCTGAAAATTCTTTGTAATAGTAGCTTTTAATTTGCAGACAACTTTGATAATTTTATCATTCTCATATGAGTAAATGGTCAGTTTGATCCTCGAAGTTGCAAAAAAGGCGTCAAATAAGTCCTTATATAGAATATTCTGTCCGGACGTGCCATTTGAGGTGGCTCCCGGTGGAATTTTGTGATAAATATTTTTGAGCATCTTATTCATTAAGTCTAGTTTACTCATACCAAATTTCAGCTAAAAATTCAATCGGGAAGACATTCAAATGAATTCTTGAAGATAACAGCGCTTTTAACGACACAGTTATCTTCAAGAATTCATTTGAATGTCTTACACATTGAATTTTTATATGAAATTTGGTATGAGTAAACTAGACTTAATGAGTAAGATGCTCAAAAAATTTCATCAAAAAATTCCACCGGGATCCACCTCAAATGGCACGTCCGGACAGAATCTTCTATATAAGGACTTATTAGACCCCTTTTTGCAACTTCAAGGACCAAACTGACCCTTATCTCATTCTCATATCTCGTTGGCAGTGGCGGTGCCAGAAAAACGGTCCAAGTGGGTCGAAAATAACTAATTACAAAATGAAAATGGTGAATCATTTTTAGACAATATCCGAATTGAATGTTTCAAATTTAGTTTAGATAAATAGGCACTCATAATAAGAAAATAGAATGTTTTTGCTCTATTATTAGTAAATATGTCATTGTGGTTAGAATATCCCCCCAAAAATTTTGAGCATGTTACCTACCCGTCTTCTATTTTGAGGCCTTAGATCAGGGCCGGCCGAAATGGTGGGCTAGGGCATCATGGACTAAACGGTTGGCCAGGTTAGCATAGCCCATAAATCAGGGTAAATATTAGGCTAAAAAAAATTCTGTCAATAGTGTGAACAAGTTACTATTTTGTTATTTTAAGTTCTAGTAGTATAATATTTTTTTCTCAAAAAAAAGGAATGTAACTACACGTGTGTTATGGAATCCAAAACAAAGAAGTCGGATAGTGCAAATGTGCAATAGATAAAAGCTAGAGAGAAAAAATGTTATAAAAGAATGGCGGGTAATACTACAAAAAATAATTTTGAAACATGTAATCATAAGTTGGAGGTCAGGTGGAGGAAATCTGAAACATTCTCCTTGGCTCATACCTGGAATTCAATTTATATCTAATCTCGACATTGTCCAGATTAGGTCTAAAGATTTCATCAAACCCACATCCATGATCTAGGTCTAATTGGGCCAATTCATGTCAGCAGTTCAACACTCTGGCAAGAATTGTCATCACAATCTCACATATTTATACATATAATCAAACTGAATCGATGGCCATCAAATAGAATACAGGGGCCATGATGTTAAAGTTTCTCGGTTCTATATAATAGTCTGTAGTGTAGTTGGTAGTACAATAGCATACTTAGGCAGCAACATCAACAGCAAGACTTGTAGTAGCATCATCCGTCCCAAATGTTTCAATGTACTTTTTCCTTGCGTCGAGATGGTCATGTGGGCGGTTGAACGGAGTCCAAACTGGGTCACCAACAAAGAGTCGCATCGCCTGAAAAAAACAAAAGGCAGTTTTTGAGAAATCACAACACGCAAAAAGAATAGCTACATACTTCGTATATATGAATAGGACACTGATTCCGTGCTGGACTGCTGGTTTATCACTTTACATCTTTCTTTTGGAAATTATGATCATGTATGTATAGAATAAATGAGAAATAAATCTTCCTATCACTACTCCTCCAAATTCAACTCCCATACATAGCCTTAGGGAGAGAGGATTACGAATACAGAGTATGGTCGACAACATGAACTTGAAATGGACAATACTGGTAGCTAGGTACCCCTTAAGTTCCAATAGATACAAAAGCTAGTATATTATATATAAAGAAGAGCAATATACTTCTCAAATCTCAACTTTATGATTGCATCAAGTGTCGAACTATGGAAGACTTTATATGACAGTCACTTGGCAAAATGAAATGATGACAGTAAAACTACTTTAATAAAGCGCATGTAAATATTGTTTGGGTATACCTTAATGTAATTATTAGAATCAAGGGTAAAACGGTGATAAATTCCAGCAGGTAGTATTATCATTGCTCCTTTCTTCACCCAGATCCGGATCCATTCATCATTCTTATCGCGTACATCAAAATAACCTTCAATTGAAAGGAGTACAAAAGATTAACAACTTTCACATAACGCTGATGAAGGAGAACTAAAAATTTATGTTCTGATTGGTAAGGGTTATTTTTAACCGGAAGAGTGAAGGAAAAGCTGCTTAGCAGAATAAGCAAAAACTATGACTTCATCTTAACATAATGAAAATTTTATTATTATTTAATGCTAGTTCTGTACTCGGTATGTTTTATGAGTAGTATAGTATGATCTAGTCTCCAAGTACACAGGTCTTGATGCCAGACAAGTCCAGAATAGATTAAGACCTACCACTCCCGGCAACACAATAGCGGATTTCTTCATCAGGGTGATTTGTGAAGATGCTCTTCAAAGAAATTTTTGATCTTCTCTTCATAATTGGGCAACTTTTCAGGGCACACCTCACAAAAGTCCTGAAGAAGCATAGCGTATACAAATAGATGATAGGCTTGAAACAAGAAAAATGATTAAGCTTATACCAAAATATCAACAATTCCACTTCTTTTATTCTCACTTACCATGTAGGAATATCCTCGGGACTCACGGAGTTGCTTCAAAACCTCATCCTTTTCATAATTGTCAGCATCTAACCTCCAGCTGAGCACTCCAAGCTCTAGGAATTACAAATTAAGTATAGGATTATAAATGACCATTGCATCATCAGATGCGTAATGAACTGTGAGGCCAAACATGATATAACTTAGTAAGAAACATACCATCAAGTTTGTAAAAGGAGACAAACTGATTTGGCTCACGGTGATGGGGAAGTCTCTGGTCTTCATTGCTATCATCCATATACCATGCCTGCATAACTTCTTCCCTGCTATCCTGCTTGAAAGAAAATTGTATACATATTGAAATAATATAGCATCATTTTTCTTCCCAATTTCATTTATAGGACAAAACGTTCTAACTTTGAAAGGAGAAAATCAAGTTAGTCAAGGAGCTATCAGCTAACACGTCATTCAATTTTGGTACGTCAAGGAGTATTAATAATTTTTTTTGTTCTTCAAAAAAAAAAAATAATAATTTTTTTTGCTTTTCAAACCCCATAAATGACTGCCATTTTCAGATCCTCCCTACTTGAGGATTGTATTCTTAACTTGCAGGAGATTCTCATATTCCCCCTATTAATTCATATCAATCCATCATGATTACTGGAATTGCAGTAGTACAAACAAAATGTCTTTAGTTCACATTAAAGTCAAGGAATTTAAACGATTGCAAACAATAACCAACATCAATTCCTACAAAGAGGAAGAAATACTCCTATTTAGTAACTACTCCTAAATAATACGTATAATATTTAGGAAAGTGCAGATAACAGAGGATAATTGAAACGATTAACAAGAACATTTCAATTTTTTTTCTTCTGAAAGTTGATTTCTTTTATCAGATTTCGGGTTTAATGCACCAAACCCCCCTGTGATTTGGAAATTCGGCGCATTAGCCCCCTGTGATTTAAAAAATGCGTCAAACCCCCTGTGTTTTAATTAATCATGCACCAAATCCCTTATGTGAACAAATTCAATTGTCAAATAAAAGAAAAATGATTGACAATTTTGTATGATTCAGAGATTTTGACATATTTATTTGCATATTCAATCAAAATATTAGGAAAAGTGATTTTCAAATCGTTAAATTTATTCATAAAGGGGGTTCTGTGCATGATTAATTAAAACACAGGGGGGTTTGACCCATTTTTTAAATCACAAGGGCTAATGCGCCGAATTTCCAAATCACAGGGGGTTTGGTGCATTAAACCCTCATATTTCCTATTCAACAACATATACGGAGTAGATGATAGTAATTAAATAATTTCTCCACGTCAAAATTCAAAGAATTCGAAATTGCAGCACTGGAACTTTATATTCGTACTGCACGAATATAAACCCTTGAAAATCTGAACTTTAATAAACAAATCCGGGTAGCGTACAAACATCTGAACAGAAAAATAAGGCCTGATAGAATTTTTGAGAGAAATAATTAAATACCTTTCCGATGGAACCCATATTTTCAGCTTTCACGGCCTGAGATTCTAACGCTGATTAATGAATTTCGTGTTCAAGCCATTTGACATTTAGTCAAACGGTAAAAAGTAAAAACCATCTCCTGGAAAAACAAAACGAAAAGACTCAATTACCTCACCCGGTGTACAGGTTAAGGAATTGATTGAAGCTGAAGCTGGTCTATTGAGGGTGTTTCCGTCTTTCCAATTTCAAACTTTCAAGATTTATTTAGAGAAGGTTGGCAACTTGGAATCGAATTTGGGGTCTTTTGTATTTGATTCTTAAAACTGATTCTATTCTTTGAGGGAGCAGAAGTTGGAGTGTTTGGATGAAAACGCAGAAGCACTTCTGGTGTTCTAATTTATTCCTAGAATCAGTTTTTTTAAAAGCTGAGGTAGACCAGCTTCTGAAAACTGATTCTGATTCTTCTTTAAAAAAGAAGCAGAATCAGAATCAGTTCCAAACACCCCGTCAATGACCAGTATCACACTACCACATTTGCTTTAATAACAATAAATGGTCTTATACTCTTAGAGATTTAAAAATAAAAATATAGTACTACACTACTACTTATGCCCCCCTAATATTGGGACGGAAGATAGTGGTGTGATTTTTAAGAAAAGTAGAATTATGTGATTGATAATGAGTTGATAAAGCGGAAATACATAAAAAACGAATTAGAGCCACACAAATGTAACTAAAAATGGTACTCCCTCCGTCCCTATTATATCTTCCAAATAGGTTTGGCACGGAGTTTAACATAGTGTGTATTGTGTGGTGGAGAGTTGTGCAGAGGAGAGAGAAATGTGTAAGAATTGTTGTGAACCACAAATTCTGGCCAAAAAAGGAAAGTGAAAGTTTTAATTGGGACGGACGAAAAATGAAAGTTGGAAGTTTATTTATGGACGGAGGGAGTGAAACAATAATAGGGGACACCAAAAAACGAAAAAATGGAACAATTATAAAGAAACGGAGGGAGTATATCATAAAAATCGAACCAAAAAATGACCCGGCCAAATGATTGGATCACGAGTAAACTCAGACCGACCAAATCGATTTTGGTTCGGGTCGTTTGGACACTTTAAACAAGAGAAAAATAGTCACGTCTCATGATAAAAGCTGTACTAAAATATTCTCCTTGACTCCTTGCATAATCTTTTTGAGGAGCTTGTCCTCTACGAATCTTCCATCTAATAGCTAAGAACAGAAATGATTTATTAACAAAAGGTATTTCTATTGTTTTTACTGAATCACAAGAAATTGTATTTCAATATCTTGACTATACAAAATATTTGTGAATTTCAAAGATAAAAAGAAATAAATTGAGAAACTTGTTCTTAGTATCTCAGAAAAATATTTTGATTCATAGTTTCTCCTCCAAAAATGACTTATCCCATGGGTGAAAGAATGGTTGCGAAAGTTATCAAATATATTAGTAATATTATGGATCCTCTACGAACATTCCTTCCAATTGTGAAAGGAAGGAATATAACTGTAATCACATAATTATTAATTTAAATGGAAATGATAAACAAATTGATGTTAAAATTTAAACAAAGGAAATTAAAGATAATTAATTTTAACCACATGTTTATTAATTTAAATGGAAATGATAAAATTATATTGGATAAAGCTAAATGAGGACTTTCAGGAAAGTTTTATGAGACAAATCTCCCTTTAAAGGAGGGACCATGAAACTTAAAATCCTTTTCTTTTTGACATGCCGACCAAATTTTATAGGGAAAAAAATATCCAATCCTTCGGCTTTGGAAGTTGAAATTAAACATTTGTAGGCAAAAGAGAATGAAAGAACTCTCATACCGGAGCATAAGATGGAATGGGTAGAACACAAGAAGAGAGGCAAGGGAGCAAGTATAGTTTGAATCGTGAAATAGTGACGGTAAATCGGTGATAATAATAGATTCTATTTAGATCAGTGAAATATTATTGTTTTTTTAGGACAATTCTTTCTAATCTCTATAGTATCTGCTCATTGTTAATGCCAACATCCTTGAACTGAGATGTGATTCAAACCTATGTTTGAAAAACCGACCCGACTCGGCCGGGTTGACCCGGAAACCGGTGACCCGGACAAAAATCCGGTTCGGTTTCTTCAAAACCTGAAAATGGTCAAAAACCGGAAAAGCCCAGCTGACCCGAAAAAAACCGATCCGGACCCGACCCAAGAAACCCAAAAAACCCGGGAAAACCCGGTTTTCGGTCTTTTCCAAAAAAAGTAATTTCTTTTTTAATTTTAATGCATTTTTTAAACCAATAAAATTGCAATTTCAATTCCCTAAAAAGAAAAACTATGTAATATATTTATATATTTATTTAAGAATGAAAATCATGCCAAATTATAATATAAATGTACAATACAAATAAAAATATGTAATGAGAGTGTATATAATTATATATTTATTATTATATAGACGTATAATCGTTGACCGGTTTTCCGGCTTTGACCGGGTTGACCCTCCGGGTCCGGGTTGACCCGTGACCCAGTCACATGACCGGGTCGCTCACCGGTCCGGTTTTTACAACATAGATTCAAACATGTGACCTCCTCCATGAGAGTGCCACAGAGATGCCATCGGACCACAAGGTATTTGGCATGTATTTAACTTTTACCACATACTACATCAATCAATTTTTATGATGCTTTCTATCACTCAAATGTATTTAACTTTCAGCACATACTACTTCTATCAATATTTATGATGCTTTCATTTGGACTGTTTTCAGTCCCAGATCAGATCGGATCAGACTAGACTAGATCAGACTTTCTTAGTTATAAAATACACAGAGAACAAACATTATCAGACCAGACTAGTTCAAATCAGAGCAGATCAGACCAACAAATTTGAGTCCAAAAGAAAACATCATTTATGAGTGATTTTATGAAGTCCATACTCGATCCCAATCATATGGATTAAGGAGACATCATCCCAGTCAGGTAGGTTGAGTTCAAAATGCAAATGAATACGCAACTTCGTACGACAATCGTACTTAAGATCCACAGACAAAAATACACTAGAGAACTTTGGCAAGTAAATAACCATTTTTAGTTTGAAGTTTGAACGTGAAGATGCATTGCACACACATAAAGCAGACTCATACATTTTAGTTACTTAAAAATAAGAGTTACTTTGATCGGAACGTCAATGATCCATTACATACAAAACGGATAAAGATGTATATGCGCGAAAATTCATTTGCATTTTGCATGAAAAACATGCTACTTATTAGAACATGTGTGATAGTATATATTCACTAAAAAGTAGATTGTATTACAAAAACTTTATTATATGTTTTATCCTAGGGAAAGTTCCTAAAATAGGACTAAAACAGTTTGAAAATTCCAAAATAGGACTGTCATATTTTTTATTCTCAAAATAAGAGTAATTACTGCTAAGTTTGGAAAATACTGTCATGTTTGAAGTCTATACTGCCAAAACATGACAGTAATTAGTCCTATTTTGGGAATAAATACATGACAGTGTTATTTTGGAATTTTCAAACCTTTTTAGTCCTATTTCGGGGGTAATATTCTCTTTTTATCTTACAATTTTTTCACAAGTGTCGATGTCAGCCGGGTTTATAATATAGTTTTGATACTCTTGAAAAAAAAAGGTCTTTATATCTAAAGAGTACTTTAATTAACTTATAATTACTATTCCAGCGAATAAATAAATCTTTAGGAAAAACACAATATTTGACACGTCTTTCCCTCAAATAATTTTCCCATTGTAAATTAAGTTGACCACTACCCAAATAAGTCTAATTCCCCCTGTACTATCTCCAAAGCATTTCCTAATGCGGCTAGCCCGTCTTTCACACATAAATTGAGAATATGACATCCACATCGTTGATGAAAAAACCTAGTGCCGGTCCTATCTTAATTCGGGCCTGAGTCGAACTCCACAGAAGGCCCTGTAGACTATAATAGATTACTCCGTATCATATTTCGTAGTCTAATTTGTTTTTATGTTAAAGATCAAACATCACAAACAATAACTAATTATGTTTTAAAATAAGTAATTTGTTTAATATTACTCACACACACAGGGTAATGTTCATGTAAGGTAGATCTAAAAATTATAATTCTTAGGCCTCTTTCATTTGACGTACTTCCGGGTCGAATTTTTCAATGAAATTTTGTGACCATGTTCTCTTTGAAGTGTAGGTTATGTGCACTAAATTTTATATTAAAATTCAATCGGGAAGTTAGTTAAATAATTTATTGAAAAAACTGCATTTTTAGGCCTAAAAATGCAGTTTTCAAAAATTTATTTCACTAACTTCCCAATTGCATTTTAATCTAAACTTCGGTGGACATAATCTACATTCCATGGAGATGTGCTCACCAAATTTCATCAAAAAAATCGACCCAGAAGTAGCTCAAATGAACGAGGCCTAAAATTTCAACTTTTAGGCCTACCTTACATGAACATTTTCCTACACACACATATAAACTAATATTAGCTAAACAAACGTGCTAAATAAAAAATTATTGTCAACAAATTCGAGAACAAAATGATTTTAAAATTTAAATATCTGAAAAAGGAAATTTTAACGCTAGAAAAAGAGTTCCACTCTGCAAATTCAATTCAAATCCATCCCAAGCATTTTGAAATGGTCAGCTTTGTGGGTCGCAGCAGATAAATTTAAAACAAGGGAACCAATTTATACTTTAAATTCACACATATATATAATAGAAAGTATCTTAAATTTTGGGGCCCTAAATTTCTAACATTTTCTGGGGCCTTGAGGCCTTTGCCTCATTGGCCTTCAAGTAAGCATGGCTCTAAAAAAACCTACCCATCAAAGTAGAAGAATCACACAATTCACGCAATCTAGGTATAACGGCAGTATTATTACTAGCATTATCAAAACCCATAGCAAACACCTTATTAATCAAATTATACTCAATTAAAACACGCTCAATGAGAATATAAATATTATCAGTGGTGTGTCGATCATTAAATTCACGAAAAGCAAGAACACGTTTATGCAATTCCCAATCATCATCAATATAATGTGCACTGACACCCAAATAATATAAATGATGATAACTATCCTCCCATATATCACTACAAATACTAACACGCCCATCAAAGTTTGCGATTTTTTTTTGTAATCTTGCCTTTTCCAAACCATAGAGCCTTATAACTTCCTTTTTAATTGTTTTGCAACTATAATTTCGAAATTGAGGGTTTAAAGTATCTTGAGCATATTCTTTTAAAGCAAGACTTTCAGAAAAAATAAAAGCAAAATTTTCTTCAACAATTAAGTTAGACATATCACTCAAATGTTTGGAATCATTTGCAAACCTTGATATTTGAGTTTGCTTCCCCTTGCTTTTGTCTAATTTCGCCCACTCCACTTTTGTGACGGGACTTAGTATGCCTTGCAGCGCTCCCGTATCCCTTGTGAAACCCCAAGCAAAAATCTTTCTTGCACCACTTGCAAGTTGCGTACCACTTCTCGGTCTCCGGGTCATTCCACTTATCAAAATTATTTTCCATAAGGGCAGATTTACTTTTCTTCTTCCCAGCGGGTTGAGATGAGCCAGCCTCGTCCTCGTCGGGGGTGTCGTCACCCTCGGCCATCGCCGGATCATCCTCCGGTGCATCCTCATCCTCGAGCTCTTCCTCTTCTTCAATGTCGGGGATGTCACGTTGTTGGAAAAACCGCCCATTATGTTCGTTCAATGCTTGTTGTAGTTGTTCGTCGGACATCGCCATTGCATCTCTCCGTTGGTAATCCGTGTCAAAATCATCTCGGCTTTGAGAAGAAGACCCGATATGTCCTTTACCTTTGCGTGAAGACGGATGATTCTTCGAAATCTCCTTCCTTCGGTTGTGAGTGAGGTTACCCACATCAACCGAATGTCTATAACGTTGCATCTTAAAAATGTAACAAATATTAAATTGCAACAAATATGTTAATATGAGTACAAAAGTCAATCATCGTTTACCCCAGTTCCGCAAAGGCTCCCCACCTATGGTGGGGTAAGGGGGGGTCGGATGTACCCAGGGCCGTTTTTTAGCATGTTCATTAGGTTCGACGGAACAG